TAGGGCTGTGGGACCTTCTTGACGTCCACCTGAACAGACAGACAGGATCTCGGTTCATCCAAAGAATAAGATGTTGGGGCCCCGTATCGGAATGTTGAGCCCATTGTAGCTGATATTCCGGTGTAATGATGGGGTGAGTGTTGCGTACTCAGAAGTGCCATCCTTCAGAGGAGATGTTATTCCAAGCTCCCGTCTGTGCTTGTTCAGCTGGACATTAAAGATCCAATGGCACCACTTCTCCCTCACCTCCTTCAAGGCACACCTCAAGGCTCTCCTCTTTCGACCGTGACTTCGGCCACCCTCCTACCATCTGGCCTCCACCCTCCCTGATCCCAACACCCTCCCACCGCTCTGCCACCCCAACCCCCACCCCACCCACCCACCACCCTCCCACCACCCAGCTCGGATCCTAATCCCTGACTGTTCAGCGCCTTTGTATCGTATTGGAGAAGAGAAGAGAGTTTCTCTCGCTGAACCGGCTAACAATCCCCCATAGGCAATTAGTCATTCGTTCCTTGGCTACTTGCGGTACATTGGCTGCAAATTGCTCTTTGTTGAACTTCATCCATTGATCTTTATTGGCTTTTTCTTTTGGAGCATGAGTAGCGACTAACTGCAATTTGCTGTCCGACCTCAATACCGTCGAGAACAAGCTGAAGGCCTCCCGCTGGGATGGACATGGTTTTGCATTCGGAAAGCGTCTGATTCCTGAATGTTGTATCGGGCTGTCTGACATCACCGTTAATGGGTAAAATAATGAGCAGACATCAGAGAAAGCAGTCGTCTAATCGCCCAGTGAAGGCAATCTCATACTTTGGCGGGATGAAATGTCCCTTCGACTTGCTCCCTCACCTCGTTCAAAGCCCGTCTCAAGTCTTATCTCCTTTCTCTCGTCAAGGTCCACAGGGTAATCACAATGAATTAACGCGGTTATGAGGGCAACCACGCTGTTATCACTATCTCTGCTAAGTGACAATCCAGGTGGTGACGACTGCACTGGGGAATACACGGAACTATCAGTGTTCAAGGATGTCACCCAAAAAAATACTCCAGGATTTTTGTTTTTTTGCTCTTAATCCCTGACGTGAGGAGCTGGAGCTCATTAGACACAGACTGCTTCCACTTATAATGAGGCACCCCAAATAACTAGCCAAAGAACTAGTGTTTAACTGTTAAATTATTCTTAAGGACAGCTCCCTAATAGGACAGGATGGCTTCCTGTTAAAAAAAAGATGTGCTGTCTGCCATTCACGGCTCAAGTCTCTTTGCCGAATATTTTTCCTCTTCCACCTGCACCCACCCCCCCTCCCCTCCCCGTGTCGCTGGTCTCTGAGCGTCGCTCTTATGTCCTGGCGTCTCTTTCCCCGGAGGGAACCCCCTGGGTTCAGAGGCACGTTTGCAGAAGAGATGCAGACGGTCCATTCCGCTGTGAGCGTGTCGACGATGTGATAACAGACGACGGCAGGGAGAGCTATTGTTGGTGTGGAATCGTAGGAATTTACGGAGCAAGAGGAGGCCATTCAGCCCATCGAGTCTGCACCAGCTCTCAGGCAAGATATCCATCCAACGACACTGCCCATCAAATCCCTGGCTTTCATGTACCCGTCTACTTCCTCCTTGACACCCACAATTGACACCCACAAATTCTCCTTGGGCTCTGGTGATTATCTTACATCAATAGCCACCCGTAACCCACTCCCTGACCAGCGGAAATAGCTGCTCCTTATGTCACATGTTGTTGGATTGAGAGGGACGGGTCGGAGAAATGAGCGCCGAAGCTAAAACGACGGCTAGACCGATCGGCCTCGGTGCTGAGCTAGGTTTCAAACCGCGGACTATTTCTGCCCGCATTGCCTGTTGCACGGTCGGATTGAGGCCCCGGCAGTGCCAGGCAGCACCACTGGGTGGAGTGCCTTGTATAGAAACAAGCAGCCTTTGCTTCTCGAGTAGGTGTTAAAATCCGGAAAAGCTGGCCAACGGTTGGAAGTTGCTCCCGTGGGCTGAGGGCTTGGTAAAACTGTGCGTTTTCCCCACCCCGCCCGGCCGGCCGTGCCTCCACACCCTGGAACCACCTCGTCGCCGATCTCCTCCTGCCCCCGAATTCCTCCGCTCCGTTAACTCAGGCTTGCCGCACGTCCCTCACCCTATCTGTTGGTGTTCGAGCCCTTAGATCCAAACGCTTCCCCCGCCCACAACCCCACCAAACCTCTGAAATCCTCCCTCCACTCCTCCCACTTTCTATCCTTTCTTTTAATCCCTGACTGCCCAAACACCTGAGTGTCCAGTGCCTTGGGACGTCCTCCCAGTGTGAAAGGCGCCATGCAAATGTAATTTGTTGTTCTTCTTCTTCTTCAATTCCCGCTTGAACAGCTCCCTCTTCAAACGCGCCTGTGGCCACCTCCCTCCTCCTCTCTCCCGCGCTCCGCCTTCCCGCTCCGTGCCTGTGAAGCGCTCCGAGACTTCACCCCTAACCGCCACAAACACACGTCATCGCTCTTGCGGCTTGGGAGAGCTTGACATTCCATGCCTGTGCCTAAGAGGAGGAGCGTCCCCTGGTTCCGAACTCGCTGTATTTTTCGTTAGAATCTCGGAGACCAGAACTCAGCAACTTGTCGAATTCAGTTGTCATTTTTCTTTAAGATTTGCCAAATTCCGGATGTTCTAAACATTAAGAGAATAGAGTAAACCTAGAACCGGGTGGAATTCTACCCCCCACCCCCCCCCACCCCCCCCCCCCCCGTTACGCTCTGCTGCTAAAAGGGCAACATCGGCTTTGATTTCTGCAGCGTCCTGCACGAGGGAATAGCGCCTCGAAAACCGCCGCTGAGTGCTACAATGCCAGGAAACGTACAGGCGCTTTGACCGGCCGTGCGGCTGCAAAGTCCTCCCTCGTTTCAGCCAAGGGGCGGCTCATCAACCGTATCGTTTTAACAGGCGTCCGAACTGGGTTCAACCGGATGATTTTGACCCGGTTTCATGCACGAGGATTACAATCAGAGCGCAACGTCACCTTTAACCCTATTCCAAGAAATCCGCTTGATTGATCTGTTGACCTCCTTTATGATCCGAATATATATTTGAGTGGAGTTGAGCACGCTTCGGAACAGAGGTCTCCCGTAATGATATCTTCATTCTTTATTACTTAAGTGACTCCTTAATTGGAAACCAAGGGAAATGAACAACCTTTTCTCCCCTGTTGCATTAATGCCTTATTAGTCATCGGAAACTGAATGATGTATTTGTCACGTAAAGCCACAAGAACGATCAGGCAAATCTTCTATCTTTACCCTTTTTTGGGGAAGGATAAGGTTAGGACGAAACCACTTATCTTAATCCATTTAATGATTCAGCCATGTAGGTTTGTGCTTTGCCTTTCTGTGAGAATATTACCGTTTGCCCTCCAATGTTGTGAGGTCACCATGCAAATCCAACCGGTTTGGTTGTGGCATTAGCTCAGCCAGAGAACAGCCATGACTTGAAGCTTAATTTCTCATCACAGGGATCAGTGACTTAGAAAACGCTACTCTTTTCTTCCAGGCTGAAAATGAGACTCGCTGTCATTTAATCCTCCAAAACAAATCAGTCAGCTATTACCCGAGATTAACCGAGCTCTTTTGAATTTGCCTCTGCCTACAATGACGATTGCGTTAAACCTGCGAGCGGACTTCATCCCATTTACATAATTCTTATTTCGTAGCTGTTTGTCTGGTTCTGGAGCCTCTTCGATTCTCGTTAATTCAGAGAAGGCAGTTTCTCCTGGTACCCTGGCCAACAATCTCCCCCAGATTGTGATTCCGCCCACAAAATACAGTCAATTCACTCGACAATATATCCTGTGAAGCGCTTTGAGATGTTTCAATGACGTGATGAGGCGCTGTATCCAAGCAAGGATTATTATTCTGATTATTATTATTATCTACAGTGTCTGCCGTGATGCACTTTGAGACATCTTCCTGGACTGAAAGGTCCTAAATCAAATGTAAGGACTGTTATTATTCCGGTGAATGGGCACCATTCACAATATACGTGTACATGTGTTTGGCTGTTTTCTTTTCTAACACCTTTTGACATTGCCAACGCATCACCGCGAATCGAGTTTGCGGAGAGTGGCGGGGGGGGGGGTGGGGGGGTGGGAGGGTGAGTGGGGGAGAGGAGAGGAAAACATTTGCCACCGCCACCGTATATACCCCAAAACGAGAAGATGTTACATCGTGCCAGTGTTCGATTCAATTCATAGAAAAATAATATTTCACTTCAACCCACCGCCACCCCCCCCACCACCACCACCAACCACCCCCTTGGCCCCACACACAAAAATCCTTTTCCCACACGTTCACGCATTCAACTCCATATTCCCTTTTTGTTTAAGAAATAAAAAGTGTCAGCGGTGCTTTATGTTCTCAATTGTAACTGCCCTATTCTCTTCCCTGATGTGCTTGGACTGTCGATGCGAAAGGCAGAATGAGGTGGAAAGAGAGAGACAGAGAGAAAAAGAGAGGTAGAAAGAGAAATGCCTTTTAAAAATGAGAAAACGATGTTCGGTGTAGATGCAGAGAGAGAGAGAGAGAGAGTGGAGTCTCCACACAGTGTTGCTGTCTTGTTTTTCCCCCTCTGGTACCACCTACATATGGTATGCTCCTGTGATGTTAATATGTGTGTGTGTGTGCCTGTGTGTGCCTGCTTACAGCTAGAATTGGCAGTGATCCCCTTTCCTTCAGATGGGCAAGTGGGGGGGTCTGTAGTCTACAACTGATTGCCTGGCATCCGCAGAGAGGGGGGGAAGAATCAGCTTGACCCCTCATCAGAAAACTGTCTGGACCAGAGGAGAGGTGGGAGGGGGAGGGAGAGAGCCCTGATATCATTCAGCTTGTTCCCTCTCCCTCTCTCTCTCTCTCCCTCCCCATCAGGAGTCTGCAGGATGTGATGGAAAGAAGATGAGATGAAAGTGGATTTATTTCTTCTGCTGGAAAAGAGTCTCTTTGGAGCGATGGGATGGCTTCAGCCCTGCAGTGGTCCAACCGTGCGCTATGGTAATGTGTGGGCTGTGGGGAATTGACCCCCTGTGTGTGTGTGTGTGGTGTGTATGTGTGTGGTGTGTGTCTGTGTGTTGTGTGTAATATGCATTGTGTAGTGTAGTTAGTGCCTGTGTTTTTTCTCGCTCTCTCTCTCTCTCGCTCTCGAGAAAGGGGAGCCTGCTTTTTAGTCTGCCTGGATAACAGGAGACCTTGGCTGCCAAGTGCGTAACTGTGTCTTGAGGCTGCGGACTGTGGTACATTTTGACTGTCAGGCAAAGCCGAGTAGATGGCTGGAGTGGGGGGAAAAAAAATTAGGCACCGAATCATGAATGAATCCCGAGATCGAATGATTGGGCAGGTTTTCCTGCCGCACCGAGTAGTCAGGAGGAAACAGCACGGATACAGTGCTAGCAATTGAAGCTGTGTTCTGCTTTACCTTTCACTGCGTTAAGTCCCCGGACCTGCCTCTCCAGTTTGGTGCCTTGGAAAAGGGGTATGGGATGGGAATGTGTGGATCTCAGCCTCTCACCACTGTCTCTCTCTCTCTCTCTCTCTCTCAGTTGCACTCCATAGTACCTGTCTAACCCTGTTCTCATTAAGGTACACTTAGGACCACTTCACGTCTATTTGCTAATATCTATTTTAAAGGAACAGCCTCCCCACCCACCCCAACTCTCACCCCCACTTTATTGGAGGTTTGTATTTGGAGTCCTTTTGGATTGAGTGTGGTTTTGACATTGGTGTCTGCAGGATAAAATACTTTGGTACGGATTAATATTGTGGTGGTTTCTGCTTTCTACGCTGAAGCTTTCATCAAGATTAAAACCTCTCCCACCCCAAAAAAAAGAATCTGTTTGGTATTAAATAGGACAGATGTCAGAAGGAACACTATGCTTCGATATTGGCAACTGAATTGCTGGGTGATTGGAGCAGAGATAAGTTGCTTAAATGAGTCAGTGATTGATTCCACAGCCCAGTTCAGACTATTCCGTCTTGCAATTGGCATTCCTAGGCAATGGTTAGTTACCTGGTGCTGTCAAATGCCAACAAGATACAGCATCTGCTGTTATTGTCCCCCCCCCGCCGCAAAAAAAACCACAGTGTATTACTGGTGACCAAGGAGAGTGTACGCAGGACATCTATTTATTGAGCACATTATTCACCTATTGTTTTTTTTAAAAGAAAAAAGATGTGCGCATTATGATATGGAATCGTGTGCCGATGGCTTGATGATCCGGCGATTGGAATGTAACAAGACATTGTTTGGTTGTTGTCGTGGCCGTCATCGCTGTTGTCGTGGCCGTCGTCGTTGTTGTTGACGTGTTCGAAACACACGCTGACGATAACGACGGCAGCTTACACTGCGATTTACACTGCGTCCCTCCGGCCACCACCTGGAGTGGAATGATTTAACCGATGTCGATCGAGAATGCTATCCATCCATCACAGAGCAGAACGAACGCAGCTTGCCCCCCCCCCACCAACAACAGCCTCTCGTGTTGTAGTTTGGTGTCTGAGTCCGTGCCCCGGTTCACCCGGGCGGGCTGGGGGGTTTGCTATTGCAACTCGAGTGCGGTTTTAAACGGAACTTAATCTCAGGGCGTCCGTGTGTGCCTCGACTTCATAAGGTCGTGTGTTGGAGTGTCAGCCCCGTCTGTCGCTCCAACCTGCCTGTCGCTACGAGAGAGGGAGTTAATGTGCGAGGAGGGAGTAGGGCAGGGGTAGCGGGGTGGGGTGGGGTGGGAGGGTGGGGGTGTGCGGGTGAGCAAAATAGGCCCATTGGACAATTTTGGGTAGGAAGGAGGTGAAGGGAGAGGGTGGGGGGAAAGGGATAGAAAAAAAATTGACAAATCCATCTGCCTCCACTCTGAGATTTTTACAGGATGGGAGATTGATCGATTGATCGATTGATTGATTGCACTTTTTTCGAAAACGTTAACCTACCCATTCCTTCAGGGATGAAGTGGGAGTGAACGAGAAATCGGCTGTTGACGCATCAGCCAGAAAGCCGTGAAGGAGTTAATGACTGTGGCTCGGGGCCAGGCAAGCCCGGACTCTGTTAAAATCCGGAATGACATACCTCACCCGAAACCCTTTCTGAAATCTGTTGCGGAAGGTGTTAATTTGCTAAATATCTTTTGTCCCAAAGCCTGTTTTGGCCCAGATTTTCAATCAATCTGACCAGCTGGCCGGGTTTGCTTCATAATTCCAAATCTGCTAAAGCGCTGACTCTGGGCTGGGAACTGAACGCAGATTCCTTCTCAGTGCAACGCTGACGCTGCCAGGAATCAGTGCGATCGGGCAGGGAGACAGCAAGTGTACTGAAACCGTGCCTTGGATCGCCTGTCACCGCTCTGTTGCATTGATCCATCAGCGCGTAAGAATTTGCTGGGCAAAAGAAGACCAAGGGGTCCATCGAGTTCGCCTCCCACCACCCTGGCAGTCGCCTGACATGTCGTGTCCCGAACGCTATGCTGTATCCCCGAGGTATTATTTTCTAGCAGAAATCTATCTAATTAGTCCTTGAAACGAATGACATTTTCTGCTTCCTCCGTCTTCCCCAGGAGGAGGGTAGACGGGGTGAGAGTGGGGGGGGGGGTGCGGTTGGTGGGCAAAATAGCAGAATAACAGAATCAATAACAAAATCCTAAAATTCGCACGCGACCTGAAACTGTAAGTCGGGAGCTGGTGTTTGGTGCTTGGAGGGATAAGTCTGATTACCGTGCTGAATCCTATTCCAGCAGTTGGATCATTTACACCCTCCGTAAAAGCTGAAATAAATGTAGATTGTTCACTTCATTTCCCCCCACCCATTGATGGCTGCGGAATGAGTGCGGCGGATTAACCCTCTGAGCGCTTTTTTGCGCACTTTTGCTTTTTGTTTTGTTTATTAACAGATATTATTACAGAAATTAACAAATACGATCAAGCTAGCCGCCAGGGCTAGGGGGCCTGGCCACAGCGGGCTCGGAAAAGGGTTCAGCGCCCCTGGCTTGCAATCTTGTGACTTTCCGATCCGCAATGTTATCTGAAACCCAACGCCGATATTCTCCATGATAGTCTTACAGTCCCGGAATGTGAACAGCTCCCAACGGCTGCCGCTCAGTAAATCTGATACAGATCCATTCAACAAACCTATGCGTCTGTCTCACAGGGTACAGACATCAGGAGACACTGCGAACTGAGTCTGGTTTATACTTGTGCCTTGTAAATCCAAACGGTCTGTCTGTCTCCCTCCCTCCCTCCCTCCTCCACATCACTCACTCACTCACTCACAATCGCTCACTTACTCACACTCACTCACTCACTCACTCACTCATTCACAACACTCACTCATTCACTCTGACTCCCTTCCTCTCTCCTCCTCCCTCCCTCCCTCACTCCCTCACTGACTCCCTCACGCACTCCGCTCACTCATTCACTCTGACTCTCTCCCCCTCCCTCCCTCCCTCCCTCCCTCCCTCCTTCCCTCACTAACTCACTCAATCTCAATCCGCGCTAGACTATAGGAGAGAAAAAAATGCAACATTTCACAACAGGTTTGCTGGCGATGATTATCAAATCAATAATTATCACGTCGCATCTGTTACGAAACGTCCCATTCTTCACCCTGCGAAGGTTTGACTCAATAACATTTGCAAGGACTAATTCCGAGGTGAAATAACTGCACGGAAAAGCATTGCTGTTCACCAGCAGCCCTCTTTATTCGATGACATAAGAACATAAGAACATAAGAATTAGGAGCAGGAGTTAGGCCATTCGGCCCCTCGAGCCTGTGCTCCGCCATTCCATAAGATCATGGCTGATCTTCTCACCTAACTCTGATTACCTGCCCTATCCCCATATCCCCTAATCCCTCTATTTTTCGAGAAATAGATTTCAAGAAAACATGTGGAGAGATTTCCGGGTAGGGAGGGAGTGTAACCCTTATCACACCCCCTGCGAGGAACAATCTACAGACCCCGCAGTGTCAAAAACACATCATTCTTCGGCACTCATTCTGAACGTGCGGCTTGCGGGATCTAACAGAATGTTCTCAGTGGCAAAATCGAAATCTCCGGAATTGCAAAAAAATGAATGGGGAGAGAGAAAAAAAACACACAAAAAATATCGACTTTATTTTTTTTCTCTCTTCGCCCTGTCGATGCTGTCACTCAAGCCTTTAGCGGTGATGAAGGTGATGTCTTGCGAGCTATTCGGAGCCCTGTCCTGTGGGAATGGCAATCCAGACACCTTGTTGAAATAACAGCCTAAGGGTATCGTTCTCGGCGGCTCAAAAAAAAATCTCCAGCACTGTGTTTCCTATCAAACTTTGTTACGGGTTTGAATGAAGAACAATCTTTTTTTTCCCTCTCTCGCTGTCCTGCCTGGCTTCAAAGAAAATGTAATTCGGAGGAAACTCATTTGTGAACCGTATTCTGAGCTCAGGGACTTGAGACTCTTATCAGTTCCCGGTACTTCGGGACAGACTTGCATTTTGTATCACCCTGTCGCATCGTCGAGAACACCTCAAACGCTTTGCAGGTAATTACTGTCAGCTGTAGTGACTGTGTTCGTCGTCAGCCCGCGCTCTCATGAACAGCCACGATCAATTAATCTCGCCGCCCGCAACTGGCGGGAGGGCTTTTCGAACAAGCAAGTGGAATCCTGTCTGAAAGATACGCCTTTCTGACAATGCTTCACCATCTTCCCCCCCTCCCCCACCACACACACACACACACACACACACACGTCAGCCCAGAAAATGAGCTCCAGTCCTGGCACGAAGCTTGCGCCAACATCCTCCCAACCCAGGTGGTGATAAATCGTTCCACTGACTGAGCCAAGTTGGCAGTCAATGAGCTTTGTGCCCTTTAAGTACCAAAATGCCTGCAAAACACAGTCACTCTACTTTACAGTAAATCCTTTGAATAGCTTTGAGACGTCCTCGCGGGGTGAAAGGCACCAAACACAAGGATTATTCTTCTTATTATTAAATCATCCTTCCGATATGCCGTGGCATTTGTGGATTGATT